GGACTCAGAGTCACACGAGAATAGCCGTTTCAAGATTTGGGCAAGTTGACGAAACGTTGCGAATTACGTTATTCTGAGAGGGAATATGTCACAGACTGCTGAAGGTATTGATAACTGATAAGAAAAATAATAGCAATATTTGCCATTCAAGATATACTGTGCAAGAGACAATTCAATAGTACATGAAGTGTGTGAGAACAATGCTCAAATCCGTTACAATGTCTTTGCCAGATATGGCAAACATTTATTAGTTTAAATAGCGAAAGAGTGCCAGAAATCGTATATTCAACCAGTTTCAATTACCTTTATTGCATCTAATATGGGGAAGTTTGAAACTGCAGCCCCCAGTGGCATGGCGGTATGTCTGCGTACTTACAAGGCTAGAAACAGGGTTTTGATACCCGTGGTGGGCTGGACACAGATAACCCATTGGGCAGCGTTGTGCTTAATTACAAACAAATTGAAACTGCATCACTTGCGTGGGCTACGACGTGTGCCCTCCACAAGGTTGAGTACTTTAGGAACATTACATTATCTTAAAGAATTATTGGTACCGTTTCACTTGGTGTCAAATTATTCAAGCCATGATTGTAAAAGATAGAATGGTACAATCCTGTATTAATTGACGTTGTGAGTTTGTGAATTTTTTATAGAATGATACAATCTCGTATTAATTGACGTTGTGAGTTTGTGAATTTCTTTATAGAATGATACAGTCTTGTATTAATTGGTGTTGTGAGTTTGTAAATGTCTTTATAGAATGATACGATCTTGTATTAATTGACGTTGTGAGTTTGTAAATGTCTTTATAGAATGATACGATCTTGTATTAATTGACGTTGTGAGTTTGTAAATGTCTTTATAGAATGATACGATCTTGTATTAATTGACTTTGTGAGTTTGTGAATTTCTTTATAGAATGATACGATCTTTTATTAATTGACGTTGTGAGTTTGTGAATTTCTTTATAGAATGATACAATCTTGTATTAATTGCGTTGTGAGTTTGTGAATTTCTTATAGAATGGTACAATCCTGTATTAATTGACGTTGTGAGTTTGTGTAATTTCTTTATAGAATGAA